TATTTATTTTAAAAAAATTAAAAATAAAAATAAGTTAAATAATGTAATTTATCTTAATCCCTCCAAATTAAAGGGATTGAAAAAAGAGAAGAGGATGGGGCTTCGTCTCCCTACCCTCCATTAAAATGATTAATCCAAACAACTAAAGGTGCTCTCCCCTTCTCACTCTCCTTCCCTTCCCTTCCCTTTCCTTTCAACTTTCCCAATCTAAACAAAGGGTTAACGATTTTAAAGGCATACATTGTTGGAGTATATGAATGTGTGAGTGGAGTTAAGAGTTAAGAGATGTGCATAAGATCTCATATCAATTAGAAACAAGGTGTTAAAATAAAATATATATGTGGGAAACCCATGAACTTGATAAGCATATCTTTTAAGTTTACTATGGCATCATATGTTTGTGCTCTCTTACCCATGCACTCTCGAACCGGCTATTAGACTCTCTTAACATATGTTTTCATTGACTTATAATTTAATGCATTCAAAATAATTATTATTTTAATTTCTTAAGTGTTGGTCCCAGAACTCGAACTCACTAATTACTATTTGCTACCATTTGGACTAGGATTTAAGGAGCAATATCGTATCTCTAATAATAATAATAATAATAAGGTATTAACAAGGACTTCTTTCTCTTTGGGTAATGATGGCCTAGAGTGAGAAAAAGTAACTACTGTCGGTTGTTCTTCGATGGTGCTTTCCCACTAGAATTAGCCCGAAATTTCAAGTTCTTGTCCACCAATGAGTACTTCCACTTCTCCCATGCTCCACCCCACCCCACTCCCTGACAGTTTTCCACCCCTAAAATCAGTGGAACAACTTTGCTCCAAGTTTAATGTAGAAGTCGTGAGTATTAAATATGCTTAGCGCACAAGATCCCCCACCTCAGCTCCAGCATATGCCTCATTGATGATGTCGCCCACTTGCCCAGTCACCGATCCTACAATCATGCTTAAAGAAAGGTACTCTTTCTTACCATCCTCCTGAGATATGTGATGGCAAATTAGTGGTTAAGTCGCCTAGATTTGTGCATGAAGAAAGGGTTAAATCTTGGGAAGATTGTTTAGTGGGTTCTTTTATTGGTAATTCCTCACCTAACTATGGAGATGTTGCTTACACTGTGACTAAGCTTTAGGGTAGAAAAGGAAAGATTCTTGTGACTGGTGTTGGGAATAGTACTTTTATGTTCAAGATACCTGATTCCACCACTAGAGATTGGATTCTTTGTTCCAAGGTGCCATAGCATGTAAGGCACAAAATTCTATATCTCCAAAAATGGAAACCAGATTTTGAACCTTCAAACTTGAAGCCATCAAAACTGCCCATTTGGGTGAAGGCCTGGAATGTACCCATGACTCTATATACCCCTTAGGGTTTAGGTTACATAGCTAGTGCTATTTGGGTTCCAATTTCCTTAGATAAGGCCACAGAATAGCGTACTCACATTAATCTTGCTCAAATTTGTGTTGAAGTTGATGTTGAAAAGATCCATTCTCTTCTTGAGTCGACCTTGATAAATCTGGAAAATGATCCACTAGTGGAACTAATGTTTGAGTATACATGGCTGCCAGCCAAATGTGAAACTTGTAAGAAAGAGGGGCATCTTAGCAAGGACTACATTTCAAAGCCTATTGAAAAGCCAGCTCAAAGGTAGGAGTGGCAAGTGGTAGAAAAAAAGGAGAAACAAAGTAAGCTTGATACTGCTAATAGGGGTGTTCATATCCTAACCAATCCGATTGATCCGACCTAAACTGATCCAATCCAATCAAAAACCAATGCAAACCAATATAAAATTGGATTGGTTTGAATTATAAAATTTTAAAACCAATATAATTGGTTTGATTTGTGGTTTTACCTTCAAACCGCCCAAACTACCCGATTACAAAATAACTTAATTAAATAATATAATATAATATTTTTTTGTAGTATTTTAAAGTTTCTTTTTCTTATTTTACAAGATAATAACTTCATTAACTTAATTAAAAAATAAAAATAGAACATCTCCATATTCCTTAAGTTATTTTTCCATTTTAATCATGCACTCTAACACTAATTCTAAATTTCTAATTCACCTACAATTCTATCCCCTCAGAATTAGTTTACACCTTTACTCTTAGAACTCTAAATTTTTAATTTATTCTTAAAATAATCTTATGATTCTCCTAACTAAGTTTTAAGTAAGTGTTATTCTAAAAGTCTTAAAACTATATAATAAAATTAGTCTTGATATTCTACTATTTTGGAATATTTAGTTTAGAAGTTTTAAATTTTGATTATGAATGCTTCTAATCAATTTTAGTGATATTCATGTTAAATTTTATTCACTTTTAACAAGATTTAGATGATGAGATTAAATTATTAATACATTAAGGAAAAAACTAATTTTAATTTTTAAGAATTATTTACCCTATGCAAGAAACTTGAAGTCATCTTTTATTGTTCTTGGTGCCTCTAGTGATGAAACCAAGAAGAATTTTCAAATCCTTTCAATTTTTACAAATGTAAAGGAGTATAAGAATTTGTTTATAATTTGTACTTTTTATTATGTTTTTACTGATTTGCATGTTAATGTGTTTTATGGTTATGTTTTTTATTCGATGTTAAAATATTTTTACATTATCTTATATATATAATAATGTTAAAAACTGATCAATTCGACTCGCCACACCAATCCGATTTACGTTGGATTGATTTGGTTATCATATAATAATGGATTGAATTGGTTTAAAAATTTTATTAACCGATTAAATTGGATTGATTTAAAAAATATTAAAATCCGAACCAAACCACATTGCAAACACCTTTGACTGCTAATGCTTAAGTGCAACAGCTCGCCTCAAATCTAGTTGAGAAGGATATTCCAATCATCCATTCCATTCTAGTTTTGGTTAGATCAGTACTAGATGCCGCTTTTCCAAACAAGGAGGTTCACACCTCTAATTCTATTTCCACTTTGGGTGACGCAAGCATGGATCTTGTTATTGACACAAGTTTGGATCTTGTTATTGAGACTAAAAGGGCCAAAGCTACTTCCCAAGGTGTTGTTGCTATCACCAAGGCATTATTACCAAGGCAAAGTTAACAAAAGAGAAGTCAAACTCCCCAAGTGAGGTATCCTTTTCTCAGCCTAAATGAGAATTCTGTTCTAGAATATCAGGGGCATTAATACGACTAGTAAGCAAAGAGAGCTAAAAAAATATTTTTCCCAGTATAATGCTAATATAGTTTGTTTATTGGAGACTAGAGTTCAACAAGCTAAACACATGGCAATTTCCAGTTTCTTGTTATTGTCCTGGTCTATGCTCCACAATTATGAGCATTATAGAATTGGTAGAATTTGGATTCTTCATAAGAATCATATTCACATCATTGTCTCTTCCATGAGCTACCAAACCATTCATTTCCATGTTTATAATTCTTTGTCTAGCCAAGATTTTTTCTTAGGGGCCATTTATGCTGATCCCCACTCGAATGTTGTTAGACAAACATTATGGGATGAATTAATTCTTTTTAGCCAGGCCCTACCTATTGTTCCATGGCTAGTGGGAGGGGATTTCAATGACATAAGATCTCCCTAGAGAGATCAAATAAAGTGAGCATCTCAAAAGAATCTCTTCTTTTTCATGATAAGCTTAATGTTGCTGAGCCCCATGACATTCCTTCCTCAGGTTCTTGTTTTCACCTGGTGCAACAATAGGGAGGATGGTCCCATTACTAAAAAGTTGGATCGTTTAATGGTTAATGATGTTTGCTTTTGACTTATTTCCAGGAACTAATGTAGAATTTTTGCCCCCTAATTGCCCGAACCATGGTGTAGGTTTGGTAGGCATTCAAGCTCTTAAGGTTAACAATCGAAGGAGACCATTTAAATTCTTCATCTTCTAGATCAAGAATGAAAAGTTTTTGGACATAGTGAAGCAAGTTTGGGAAGCAACTCAAGTGCAAGGCTGTTATATGTTCCAACTTTGCAAAAGTTAAAGGCTTTGAAACCTGCTCTCAAGAAATTAAATGTTGAACACTATGGTGATCTCTCAAATAAACAACAACAGGAAAGGTAAAAAATGCATCTGATTCAAGTACATTTATTGGCTAATCCTTCTATAGAAATGGTTCAAGTTGAGCATGATCAAGTTTAAAAAGTTGCGGCTCTACAATTGGCTAAGGAATCTTTCTATAAGCAAAAATCATGAATAAAATGGTTGCAAGACGGTGATAGCAACACCACATATTTTCACAAAGTAGTTAAAGTTAGGAGGGGGGAAAGTGTAATTAAGGAGCTTTATACAAAGGACAACAAAGGGCTTACCATAGTTTCTAGCATGGAGAATAAGGTAGTCAAATTTTATCAAGAGCTTCTTGTAACTATAGATTTGAATTGTACCTAGGCTAGTAATTCTTGGCTTAAAGATCTGTTCAATTTTCAGCTACCTGCAAATATAGCAAACTCTCTCATCCATCCTATTATAGAGGAAGAGATTAAGGCTATGGTTTTCTCTAGTCTTGGAAATAGATCTCTTGGCCCAAATGGTTTTACAATAGAATTTTATAAAGCTGCCTGGTCTATTGTGGGTGACTTAGTTATCAAAGCTATTAAAGAATTTTTCTTCTCTAGTCAACTGCTATAGTAAGTCAACTCCACTATCATTTCCTTAGTGCCAAAGATCCAAAATCCAACAAAAATGATAGAATTCAAACCTATTGCCTACTGTAAACTACTCTACAAGTTTATTACAAAAATCTTGGCCAATAGTTTCATGAAATGTCTGCCTCTCTTTATTAGCAAGAATCAGTGTGCTTTTGTGGAGGGTAGGCTTATGGTAGAAAATGTTCTCATTGCCCAAGAAATTGTGAAATATTATCATAACCAACATTTAAGCCCCATATGTGCTCTAAAAATTGATTTAATGAAAGCTTTTGATTCAATATCTTCGAACTTCATATTCCAAATTCTACTTTCTCTTGGCATTCCAAGTCAATTTGTCAATTTTGTTAATGCTTGTGTGACTACTCCTAAATTTTCTATGGTTTTCAATGGAAGTTTATGTGGTTACTTCTTAGGAGAGAAAGGAGTTAGGCGAGGGGATCCCTTATCCCCATACATTTTTGTGGTATGCATGGAGGTCCTTTCTCATTTGTTGAACAAAGCTGCTGAGGAAGGAAATTTTGCTTATCACCCTAAATGCAAAAATGTGCAACTCACACACTTATGTTTTGTTGATGATCCCATAATATTCACATATGGCAGTCTAGCCTCTCTAAATGCAATTGATGTTGTCTTGATGCATTTCTATAAGGTTTCTGGCCTAAGAGTGAACTATGCTAAGTTAGAATTGTTCTGCTGTGGGTTATCTACATCACATACCCAGTTGCTTGCTGAAAATTTGGTTTCAAGATTGGTACACTGCTAGTAAGATATTTTGAAGTACCATTGATCACGGCAAAACTTGCAAAAAAGGATCTCAAGCCTTTAGTCTCTAAAATCACTAAGAGAATGTCCTCCTAGGTGGTTAAACATCTCTCTTTCGCTGGCAAATTACAACTAATCTCCTCGGTAATTCCAGGCATCACCAATTGTCGGTGTTTTGTTTTCATATTACCTAAATGGATTATTAAAGAAGTGGAAAAGATATGTGATGCTTTTCTTTGGAAAAATGAAACTAAAACAGTGCTAAAGGGGCTAAAGTGAGTTGGCTGCATGTCTGTACTCCAAAACATAAGGGAGGTTTAGGACTCCGAAACTTAGCTCAGTGGAATCAAGCTTGTATTTTAAGGTTTATATGGCTATTATTCTCAAAGGTAGGTTCTGTTTGGGTTGCTTATGTCTAGGAAAACTTACTTAAGGGTAGAAGCTTTTGGTCCATTAACATTCCTTCTGATGCTTCTTGGGGATGGAGGAAAATTTTCAAACTAAGGCCATTAGCTAGAGGGTTGATCTAGCACATACCAAGGAATGGTCAAAACGCTTATCTCTAGCATGATAATTGGCACCCCTCAAGCCCATTGCTAGAAGTTTATGGAAACTCTATTGTTCATGATGCAAGGATACCCTCCCAAGCTAAACTAGCCATGTTATAAGTGGTAGATTTTGGAATTGGCCTCTTGCTAGATCTTCGCAGTTGGTGGAAATCCAAATACCTCTTTTTGATATTCATCTTAGGAAAGGTGAAAATGATTCAATTATTTGGTTGATCTCCCTTTATGAATCTTTCAAAACTAGTCAAACTTGGCAGTGGTTGAGAAATAAGCAACCTAGGAAGGTATGGCATAAATTTGTTTGGTTTCCTCACACTATCCCTAAGCACAGCTTCATAGCTTGGCTAGCCATACTTAATAGATTGACTACAAAAGCTAGATAGAAGCAATGGACCTCTACCATCTTACATACTTGTATCCTATGCAATAATAGCTCAGAAACTTACAAGCACTTGTTCTTTAAGTGTAGTTATGCTAACACAATGTGGAGCCAGATTAGTACTATGATCAATATTCCCTTTGTGGACTCTTGGCCAGACTTACTACATTGGATGAGGAAAAGGGTTAGAAGAAAATCTTTGCTTAGCATTCTGATCAAACTCTCATGGAATGCCACAAATCTACAACATTTGAATGGAAAGAAACAAAAGATTTCATCTGCAGCTCTTCAGAAGTGAGAGTACAATCCTTCATGAGATTCAATTTGAGGTTAAAACTAGAATGCTGGAGTTTGCTCACCCAAGATCTTCATCACTTCCTATGGCTATTGTAATTCAATGGGGACTTGAAACAGTTGTGACAAATTAGTTTTCTGGGTAATAGTAAAATGTGTACTAGCTATATGTGTATTTTTCTTAATCTCTTTTCTCTTGTAGCAGCTCTTGTGCTACTTTATGTTGCAAGTATTTCTGGCTAAATAAATTCACCTTTTATCCAAAATAATAATAATAAAGAGATATTTTTGGTAAATTGTTGTATTGAGGTTCTTAAACAACTCCACATGTGCAAAAGAAACTTTCAGCTTCATCCAATTGATCCCTTGTGAAGCTCAAATCATTAGTCCTAGATTCCTCCCCACAAAATAATTATAGAGGCCTCGAATTAGAACAATGAATAATCACTTTCTCATAGAAAAATGAATGGAATATCATCTGGTTTAATACACATATCAAATACCCCCGGTTCAGCTATTAAAATTTATAATTGAAAGTTTTCCTACCTTGAATTTAAATTTAAAAATAATAATTTATTAATAATTGTGTAGTGAAGTATGTTAAATCAAATGATGTACTAATCGTTATCCTTTCTCATATCCTAGTCTAGTTAGTGCCTGATTTGTAACTTCAATCATCTCCAATTTCTACCCCTAAGGGGGTGACTTAATAGTTAAAATTTTAAAATTTCAAATTAGAGATTTCAAGATTAAACCTCAAGTGTCAAGTCGGGTAGGAAGGGATTTAGGAAAAGCAGAGGGCTAATTCTCTAATATAGCCCATCATTATCAAATGTACCAAAAAAAAAAAAAAATCATCTCCAATTTCTTGTATCATTTGAATATTTGAGACCCACATTAATCGATCTAAGCCTAGTCATATCGTGAAGGATTGAGGGACTTAGGTGTGACAAACCAAACATCAGAAATTTGTTGCTCTCTTCCAATTTTAAAGCAAATATGTTATTTCATGGAGTACATTTTTTCAATTCATGAATCATGATCACTACTGAAATTTTGATTTTTAGCAACAAATATCAGCAACATGGAATCCTTTCTTGCTGAAAAATTATATCACCGACAAGGGTTTAGTTGCTGAAAGCTATGCAATACATTTTTCCCCTCCAAAAGCTACTCCACTTTCAGCAACAAAAGGTATGTTGCTGAAAATAAATATCAGCAACATACCCTATATTGCTGATATTTTCCGGTAACCCTCCACCGCACTTTCCTCCCCAAATAAGGATTCCATTTTCAGCAACATGTCTCTTGTTGCTGAAAGTAACTTTCAGCAACAAGAGCTATGTTGCTGAAAGTAACTTTCAGCAACAAGAGCTATGTTGCTAAAAGTTTTAATCATTTAAAATTTAATCATTTGATAGGTGTGGCAGGATTTTTTTTTATTTTAAATTTTAGCAACATAATGCATGTCGGTGATGAGTAAAAAAATTCAAATTCAAATGAGTTTTAGCAACATGGTATAGATTGCTAATAGAAAATAAACTTTCAGCAACAAAGGTTATGTTGCTGAAAGTTATTTATATACCCCAGCCCCTTCTCAATAAATTCTGCAATATTTCTCCGCCCGTGCACATGCCTTCCTTCTCCTCGCGTAGCCTTCTGCAATTCCCTTGGCCTGCTGCAAGCTGCAATTCCTCTGGCCTGCTGCAATTCCTCCGACCTGCTACAACTCCTCCGGCCTGCTCCAACTCCTCCGACCTGCTGCAATTCCCCCGGCCTGTTGCAATTCCTCCGGCCTGTTGCAAGTCCCCCGGCCTGCTGCAACATCCTCCGGCCTGCTGCAACATCCCCCGGCCTGCTGCAACATCCCTCCGCTTGCTGCAACATCCTCCGGCCTGCTGCAACATTCTCTACTGCGCCTCTCAGCTTCTTTTTTTTTTTTTTTCCTCTATTAATTAGCACATGTCATCAGATCTCTTTAAGTATATTTAAATCAAATTTTTGTAAATATTACATTATTAAGTAGATATTAATGTATTTGGAAGTTAATATATTTATAAGTAATTATCTTTAGTAATTAATAATTTGTTATTTTATTTGTTTTGTATATAATTCTTAATAAAATAAATTAATAAAATAAAATTTAAGTTTGGTAAAATACATAATAAGACATTAATTAATTGATGTTATTTAATTTACATTAATTAAACTAAAATTTATTAAGTAGTTAATTAATATCAGGGATTTATTAAGTAGTTAATTAATATCAGGGATTTATTAAGTAGTTAATTAATATGAAGGAAGTATGCAAATAAATATTAGCAACAAGACATACGTTGCTGAAAACTAGGGAATGTACTATTCCTAAACTTTCAGCAACGTAACTCTTGTTGCTGAAAATAAAAAAGAAAACCACCTTCTGAAAACCACCATTTCTCTTAAACTTTCAGCAACATGATCCACGTTACTAAAAATATAGTTTCAGCAACTTGGCTTTTGTTGCTGAAAATGGTTGAATAATCTCCACCTCCGGTCACCGGAATCTGGCAAAAATATTACCAACATAAATCACGTTGGTAAAAGTGTTCTTTTAGCAGCAAGGGGTATGTTGCTGATGTATCAGCAACATACCCTTTGTTGCTAATGTATCAGCCAGCAAGCTTTTTCCAACAAAGCTTTCAACAACGAAAGCCATGTTGCTAAAAGGCTTTTACCTACATTGCAAGCATTTTCAGCAACAATGCAAGCACTTTCAGCAACAATGCAAGCACTTTCAACAACATGGGAGCATGTTGCTAAAAGTTGGAATTTTAGTAGTGGATTGTGCGTTATCATTATTGGTATCAAAACGTGAATGTGGAATTTTTCTCAAGTAGTAGAGTCCAAGTAGAGAGTTAAAATTCCTACCAGATGAGTCCCACCCACCCGTTAGATACTATTCATTTAATTGAAAGTTTTAATTTTATTATGAATTCAAATTTTTCTTAAGATCTTATGACAGTTCTATTTATACAACTCAAGTTTTAAACTTGGGACTTATTACATAAAGATTTAAATTCTTAATTATTGAGATGTCTACCAGATAACAATAATTCAAATCATTATAATAATCAAACTTACTAACTTATATCTTGTCTAGTTGAGGTAAGAGCTAAATTACCTAGCTACCTCTTTTCCTGGAGTTTTTATTTTCTTGTTTCTCAAAGAAGGGACTTCATGTAATCCTCCAGGCTTGGGAGGCGTTGGTTTTCATCATAACTGTACATAAGAGGGACCATTCTTGCAAAGTTGAGAGAAGCATTTTTGAAAGAAGATGAAAACGGATTTGGAAAGAGGCACTCTTGGTTCAGCTGCTTCCAAGCCTTCGAAATCATTTGATTAACATGGTTCCGTGCCTCCTCCACTCTAACGCCTTGGAGTTCCTTCATGTAGAAATCCACATAAGTTCCATCCTGGCCTTCTTGATTCTCATCCTAAAGTTTACAGACACAAAATCAGTATGAGCTAGCTAACCCTTAATTACATCTGTGGGAAAAGTGTGATTATAAATCACACTATCTATCTTCCCAACAACCATGAGTTTGAGTCACATTTCATATAAGTTGGTTGAGTTAAGAGATCAAAAAGAGTTGTTCGCTATTGTGCAATTAACCCAAAATAAAATAAAATAATATATAAAATATATATTCAATTTAACATTTTTTTTATACTTGTCTTAGTTTTATTATTAAAAAATTATATAAGTATAATTAATTTAGCCAATTCTTATATCTAGAACCTGTTTAGTACAACGGTTAAAATTCAGCGAGTAGCGGGTAGCAGGTGGTGGTTAACGGATAGCGGGT